TGCCAGAGGGCAACAGAAGAATTAGAACATTGTGTGTATGTGTGTGGGGGGGCACATGTGAATGGTGTGTGTGTGTGTGTGTGTGTGTGTGTACATGTTGAGGCCAGAGGACAGCATAAGGTATCTTTCTTTGGATGCCATCTACTTTATTTATTGAGACAGGGTCTCCTTCTGGCATTGACTTGCCGATTTGTCTCGTTTAATTGGGCAACAACCCTAGGGACCCTCCAGTCTTTACCAGTGCTAAGATGGTTATTGGCAAATGCCACCACACCTGGTTGTTTTCTCTGTGTGTTCTGGAACTTGGTTCCTCGTGCTTCTGTAGCAAGCACTTCATCGGCTGAGCTATCTCTTTAGCCCTCGGAAATGTTAGTTAGTATATGGAAGGATACAAAAAATAAGTACTTTATGTTCTTAATGACCTCTGGCACTTTTTATACTCTGGAATGAAAGCCAGGATTTCAGTGTCTAACTATACAATGAATCATTTTTAAACTAGATGAAGAGTTGGCCTCTTTAGAATCTAGGTTTTGATTACTTTGTGAAGTTCTTCCATGTGTTTCTGGAAAATGTGTTTCATTTGTAGTATGCGCTTATGAGTTGTGTGTGTGTGTGTTTGTGAGTGTGTACATGTATACACACGTGTACTGGACTCTTCACTGGTAAGATTTGAGGATGTATGATTTTTTTTTCTTTTTATATGAATGTATATGAGTATTTTGCTTTCGTATGTGTACCATGTGCATGCCTGGTGCTCATGGAAGTCAGGAGGCAGCATCGGATCCTCTGGAGCTGGAATTACCGGCGACTGTGAATGTGAGCCACCATGTGGGTGTGGGACTCCAGCTGGGTCCTCTGCAAGAGCAGCCAGTGCTCTTGACCACTGAGCCGTCTTTCCAGTCTGAGGAAGTACAGCCTTGTTCAGAATCTGAAGACTTGTTATGACTAGGCATGAGACTGTAGTACCTCTCCACATTGCATCGTTCATGTGCGAAATGTGTCAGTAAATACCAGCTGTGTTACAGGGTGACTCAAGCGATACACAGGAAACTCAGGATTGTGAAGGAAGATGCTTTGAAAACTTAAGCCTTTTTATTCTTTGAGTAATCCCATTTCACGGAGAATCGTGTTGGAAGGGGCATCTCTTTCCTTTATGTCATCATTGGAAACATCGTCCACTCAAATAGCCAAGAAGCAATACAACAGACCCATGCCATATATTTCTGTCCTTTCTTTGGGGGCGGGCAGGGCCGGGGGTGAGGCAGGGTAGGGGTGGGAGAGGATTGAAATCTACCCATCACTCTCCTCTTCCCTCACTCATTTGTATCCTAAGGAATCTTTTGAGTATGGTAAGGCATAAAATTTGAGTGTGGCTGGGTCATATTTCAGCCATCAAGTTCTTTGGCTCAGATGTGCCATAGTCTCCCGGAGTCTCTCACCAACTTCAAGGTGTGGTACATAAAGCTACCTGAACATTGATAGTGCTTCTTTGTGGTTTCTTTGGCTTGGACTGTGGTGAAATGGTTGGTTCTTCTTATATGTAGTATTTGTAAATTCTCACTGGTTTCATGAATCTTAGGACAACACTTAGTTTGTTTTAGCTTGTAAAGTAATTTTTGCATCTCTGAAGTATATAAGTATGGGAAATTATTAGTAAAGAATAAATGCATACCTGGGCAGTGGTGGCTCACGCCTTTAATCCCAGCACGTGGGAGGCAGAGGCAGGCAGATCTCTATGAGTTCAAGGCCAGCCTGATCTACACATTGAGTTCCGGGACAGCTAGGACTACACATAGAAACCCTGTCTCAAAAAAAAAAAAAAAAAACAAAAAAAAACAAACAAACAAAAAAAACAAAAGAAAACAAAATGCCTATCAATTGTCCCATTTTTCTTGCAGTCACATGGATTATTTTATTGAATCTTCCAGAGATACAGAGAAATGGAGTAATTCTAACACACTTACACAACTCATACATAGCAGTAGCTGTGCTATCTCTAGAATCTTTTCTGTTCAGAGGAAAAAGAAAAGAAATTTATGGGACAGAGTGATGTCTCAGTGGATAAAGGTGTGTTGCTTAGCCTGATAATCACGTTCAATTCCTGGGCCAAAACAGTGGAGAAGCCAACTTCTGTAGGTTGCCTTCTGACTTCTACTCATACATAGGTGTATGATAGATAAAAACCTAATAAACAAACAAAAGAAAAAATTATATATATACATATATATATATGTGTGTGTGTGTGTATATATATATATATATATATATGTATATGTATATATATATAGTGAACTTTCACCAAGACTGCCTTCTTAGATTTTTTCCAAAGTAGTTGTATTTTATGCTCTTGAAGGAATTCAGATCGGAGTGGGAGAGCGGTAGGACTCAAGCGCTTGAGTACTTCCGAGTCCCAGGACCCATAGAAGAAAACAGGGCACGGTGCTATCCATTTGTAATCCCAGCTCTGGAGAGACAGAAGCGATCTGATGCCTGGGGTTCCCTGGCCAGCCAGTGCATGTTCACTGAGATGCCCTGTCTCCCGGGCATAAGGCAGAGAGTGAGAGAGGGACACACAACGTCTTCCACCGTTCTGTCCATGTGTACAAAAAAATATAAAACCAAGCTATAAAGGTATTTTGTCAAGGATCTATGATACTGTTATGTCATGAAATTAGTAAAATGATGTGACAAATTGGCACATTAAGAATGGAAGGGTACCAACCCTCAGGTCATCCCTTTGGAGTCCTTCTGCTTGGGTTACGAGTTAAAGAACATACCTCCTCTGCTGAAGTAATGAAACACATTGAGTTTTTCTGATTACTTCAACTACAGGTAACTAAATCCTATGTTCATTTAAAAAAATTGTAGTTCCCCCCCCCACACAAACATGATCATAATTAATGGTTTAAGAATTTTTATTCAAATCAAAGTTCACTTGTAGGTATAATTTCTGCCTCAGCAGACAGTTCCCAAATAACCACACAGAGACTTATTATCAATTATAAATGCTTGGCTGGTAGCTTAGGCTTCTTACTAACTTTTACAAATTAAATTAACCTAAGTACTTGTGTTCAAAAAGGCACACTCATCTTGCTTCTCCCCAGGTCTCCTGGCAACTCTGCCCATCTTCATCCCAGAGAGCACTCACTCTGTCCACAAGTCCCTTCTAACCTTTTCCCGCTGAGCTATTGGCCATTTAGCTCTTTATTAAACCAATAAATGCAACACATCCTTACAGTGTACCAAAAGAATGTTTCACAACATTCACTTTAGGAAAAGCCGTAATTAAATATTTTTCAAGATTTTACACATACAGCAGAGTTTCTGGTCCCTACAGGAAGTGGGTCAGGCTGTGGAATAGGATTTGATTTTTATTAGACAGCACAAGATGGAAACTCATTTTATCAAAATGTTAAACTTCATAGTGATTTTTGAATTTTTGAGGATTCACAGCATGCTAGGCAATATTATCTTAAGTACTACCTACACACACACCTGTAATCTTCATAAAATAACCCTGTAAGGTATGTATTACACTCTAGAGCAGGACTACGGTTTCCAGAGGTCCTACCGGACGTGATGCAGGTGCTATTTCAACGCTCCTGTTTGCCTGCTTTCAGGGCAGTAGCTTACTATAGGATCTTAAGTCGAACGTTAGTTATTTAGGCAATAAGTCACCTTGCCTATTGCTCTTCAAGAACAGTGTTCTCTCCTTAGATTCAGTGTCACGAAACATCACCTAGAGTCACTTTCCTGAGCTGTAAGGACATCAGTTGTTACTGCTCAGTGGAGGGTTATGATTAAAGACATTCCTATGCAGGTGTCGTGGTGGGCACTTGGGTCAGATGACCTCCCCACAAGCCAGGTGAAATGGGCAGGGGGCTAGAGGTAGATGGTGTTGTCACCTCAGACCTGTGGGGACAATGTGGTGGTGACAAGACTCCAGTCTTACCAGGCACCCATGTGTCACAGCTTACCCTAAGATGTCACAGAACCGCCTTGGTCCTCGTGGAAGGATTTCCCATTTCCTGGGGTTAGGGAGTCATGTGGGCAGTGTGACAGAGGGCTACAGCTGAAATCCCCACTGTCATTGACGGAAGATTGTTAGTTTTTCTGAAAAATTTGATACACATACTGGTTTTGTTTACCAGCATTTTTAGCGGGGTTTTTTTCCTAGTATTTTTGTTTTATGTATTTTTATATTTATGTTGCTGTCTCTGTTTTGTGTGGTCACTGGTGTTTATTCCTCGGTTTTATTTTGTCATATGTGCATATATGCATATGTCTTTGTTTTGTCTATCTGTCTTTCCCTCTAATCTACTTACCAGGCTGTTTTCAGGGACTCTTTGGAGCCGTAGAAGCCTGAAGTGATTTGGGTTAGGGTCACCTGGACACCACATCAGTGCACACCTCTCTCTACAGATAACTTTCTTCATCTACATCCAGTTTTACCTGGCCAGGCCCTACTTCACCTCCTAGTCATCTCTCTTCAGTGCTGGGCAGCCTGCTCTCCCTGTATCACGGATGATTTCCCAAGAAAGATCTGCTTTACATTCTAACCAGAGAACCTGTTACCTCTTGAGCAGAATTAATAGGAACTCCGGGATTTTTTTTTTTCCTCCAGCTTGAAAAGTGCCATAGTAACTATATGAGTGGCAGATAAATTTGGTTTTATTTTCTCCCCCAGGTCACAATCATATGGAAAAGGTAGAAGTTATTTATAATTTGCATGTCCTTATAATGATATTTAAGAAGCTTTACGATTCTAGATCCCTAGGCCAGGGCTTGGAAGCAATTTTATGGTGGCAAGAGCTGCGGCATTCCTTGGAGCAGGGCGTGAACTGCAGGGGATGGACGCTGTGGGCGATGTTAAATTGGGGTAATGCTTAGCAAGTGACAAACGTTTTCCGTTTCTTAATTCTGAAGTGGGCTCTTCTGGCTCTGAAGGGTTGCCGAGCACTTGCCTGCCCGATTTGTAACTCAATGGTTTTCTTCTCCAGCACTCTACGACGAGATCAGTCAGTTTCGAAAGGCCTGTGGGGAGGCGCATCTCAAAACCATCTTAGCCACCGGAGAACTCGGCTCGCTCACCAACATCTACAAAGCCAGCCTGGTAGCAATGATGGCAGGTGAGCTTCCTCCTGGATTGAAGGTTTTAGGAGAAAGTGCTAACCCGCGGCGGGGGTGTTTCTGTGGGAGGGAGGAGATGTTTTGTGAATACACACAGAGTACAGCAAGCGGTCAGGCACAAGGGGCTTCCCTCCCTTTCTTGTTCGTTTGTTTGTTTGTGGCATTTCTTTGCTGCACTATCCTTAGATAGCAGCAGATGGCGCTCTTGTTAGTGATTTGCCTTTTGTGTGATTTGATTATTCATTCATCAACACACCCTGGGCAGGATTTCTCTGTGAGTTGAGAGTTGAATTTTTTTTTTCCCCCTCTGAGGCCTGCCTCTGTGTTTTCTGAGGCAGCTTCTGCTTTTGTTCCTGCAAATATAAATAAGGACTAGTGTGGTGGTGTTTTCCGCGCCTTCACATGGAAGCTGACTTGTTGCTTTGTACACACAGCAGATGTATCCACATGCGAGCTTTCTAGCTGGAGGTGGGCTGTACTTTCTCACCCCCACAACGCCAGCAATTCTGCAGTCTCGCCTGCCTGTTGCCAGGCCTAATGCGTCTCCGCGCTCGGCAGAGATGCCGCTGTCTTGGGCAACCCTCCCGGACTGGATTACTTCAGCTCAGTTTTCTGTCCCTGCTTTTGGTCCCTCCCCGTCTTCTCACCTTCGTGCTGCTAACTGATGTTTTCAGAGTGGTGGTTTGGTCATGGCATTGCTTCGTTAGAATCTTGTAGTCGGTTCCCTTCCTCTTTCCAATGGGGTGGAAGTTCCCTGGTTTCTTGCCTGTGCCCTCCGCCACCTCACTTTTCCCTTTACCTCGTACAGTCAGCCTTGCAGAGCGACTGGAGCTTCTTCAATCCGCTGGCACCCAGCTCCTCCTCATCTTAGGAAATGTTGGGGCGCCTGCCTAGAAGGCCTTCTGCTAAAGCGGCTGCCCTCAGCACGTTTACACCAGTGTCCAGCACCTCCCCCTTCTCCACCGCGTGGTCCGTCCTCTCCCGTGAGCCCCACGTCCTTTTGGCTAAGCCTCTGTTAGATGGCGTGCCTTACTGTGCTGGGGAGGGAGCTGCATTTGAGGCCCCTGCGAAGGGATGAAGATGCCCCCGCGAAGGGATGAAGATGCCCCCTTTCTGTGGCTCAGGCCATCCATTGTGCCCACCCTGTAGGATCCTTTTGAGTGCTGTGTCAGGCTTAGTGGATGGCTCCCTGGGACTCGCTAACAGTCAGCCTGGAGACACGAAGCTGCCAGGGCCTGGTCACTGCTGTTGGGCGCCATCCGTGTCTGTTACCATTTCATCGCCGAATCTCTAAAAATCCAAAGCCAAGGTGGAATACAGTGCTTTGTTCAGCGGCTCACTGGGATGCTGGTATCCAGAGGTCCACAGTGAAGGCCCTCACGTGTGAGCTGGACATGTGGTCCCCGTTAGTGCTCTTTGACAAGGCGGGAGACTTAGACTTAGTCCAGACAGCAAAGTAAAAGTTGAGCCCCCCTGCGGGAACTGCAGTCAAATATGCCAGCAGCCACTTGTGGGACAGCTCTTGAGGGTGCTGCCCTGCCAGCATGCCTGCGAGACTGAAAGGCTTTCTGAGGCCACAGCTAAGCTACCTTTGAGGTGTGACACCGTCACAAAGAAAGTATTTGAGTTCTGAAAGGCAGCCAGTCCTCTCTGCACCGCCACTCACAGAGGGAGGGTGGCATTAGACCACCTCCATCCACTCTACCCTGGGGAAAACGGGCTAGACCGCTGCCCCTCCAGCTTCTTTCTGATCAGTTTGCCCTCAGTGTTTACCCGTTTCGTTATTCGACTAGTCTGTTGAGTACATGCATAGCTGTGACGTACACCAGCAGGTTCATTTTCAGTTCATTTTTAGGTTCCTGTCGTTTTAGTGGGTGTAGAAAATCATGGGCTTCGCGATGAAATTTTCAGACACACATTATCATTGGACTCTTCACGTTGGCTTTCTCCATTACTCTTCCTGTCCTTTCTCTCATACAGTCATCCCCTTCGTCCCTCCTTAGCTCCCCTCTGCCTTGTCTACCACACACACACAGGCACGCATGCACGCACGCACACACACGCACGCACGCATTCACGCGCACACACACGCATGCACATACCATGCGCGCACGCACACACACACGCACACGCACGCACACACACACTACATGCATGAGATGACTGCCTCTTGTTCTTACCTCCCTTGTCTTTTAGGCCTCTTTACCCCACACGTTAACAGGTTCCTCTTCTGCTTTCATGAAAGTGTGAGGACACATAGGAGCGGAATCATGTGTCTGAATAAAGTCACACTGTATATATACACTGCTTTTCTTCTTTTTATATCTAGTCTGGTGTCTCTGTGTGTGCCGGCTTTGATTTCTCTGGGTCTATACCCAGGCGTGACACAGCACGGTGGCTCTGTTTTCAGTTTTCTGGGAGCCTCCGTACTGGTTTCCATCAGGCGCACACTAGGTTTTCTGTGTGTGTGTGTGTGTGTGTGTGTGTGTGTGTGTGTGTGTGTGTCTGTCTGTCTGTCTGTCTGTGTGTCTGTGTGTCTGTGTGTCTGTGTGTGTCTGGTCTGTGTCCCTGGGGTTTGAAACTGGGTTGAAACTGGGCCCATGATGGCCAAGTGCTCTGCCGTTGAGTTCCGTCCCCATTGTTGATAGACCAGCTTTCATACCCTCGTCTTCACATCAGCCCTGGGGTGGATGAAGAAGCCTGGAATCCACTGATTTTCATGAGTTTGCACAGCTCACACATACCTGTCGTCAGAATGGGAGCTCTGGGTTTTGGACTTTTCACTTGCAGTGTAGTGTAGCGGTTTCTTAAGATCTGCTGCGCTCATAAAGGACACTGTCTTTGTGTGGTAAAGCATCTAGCCTACTTCCCAATCTGTATTTATCCTGCCATTATATATAAATGAGCTGAGGTATTTGTCAAGTCTTTAGTCTTTTTTTTTATATACTTTGGCTTTAGTTTTATATATATAATGCACAAAATGATCCCAAATTAAAAATAATTTTTTTTTTTACTAAAAAGTTAACCTCCTTGAGATAAATTTATATTCATTGACATTTGGGTGTTAAGTGTACAGTGTACGCAGTGTAGACAGTATGCAGTCACCTGAGAAGTAGAGCTTTGCCATCACTCAGGTGGATTCTGAGTGAATCGGTCACGGTCACTGTTCCATTTCTGTGAAGAGACACCGTGACCAAGGCAATTTATAAAAGGAAGCATTTAACTGGGGGGCCTTGCTTACGGTGTCATCTTGGCTGGGCGCATGGTGGCAGCCAGGCGGGCAGGAGACTGGAACCATAGCTGAGGTTTTACATCTTACCTGCAAGTTAGAGGCAGAGGAGGGGAGCGGGCTGCTGCGCTTCTGAAACCTCAAAGCCCGGCCCCAATGGCACACCTCCTCTGACAAGACCGCCCCTCCTGCTCCTTCCAAAACCGGAAGTAGCAGGGACCCAACACTCAGATCTAAGACCTGTGGGGCCATCCCATTCAGACCAACCCGGTCCCTTTCACACTCAGCTCCCGGCTTTTCACCTGCTTCCTCAGCTACAAAAGCATCGATCGGACTTTGTCAACATTCCTTGGCCTTGGTCCGTAGAACGCCATGTAGTTCACATCCTAGGCACCCTCTTTTGCGCTGCTCCCCAAAATAATAACCACGAGACGGTAGGCTTTCTTACAGGCAACCCATTGCCACTTACAGATGTTGAGCCGCTATGGTTGTGATGCTGTTAATGGAGCTCTCCTGCTGCCATGCCTGTAAGAGAGGTAGTCACAGCTCATCTTTATCCTTGCGGCTGTTTTGTTCTTTTCACTGGTTTTGGTCTTCTCTCCTGTTGGAGTCTTGCAGGGGTTTTACCAATTTTATTAATTAGACTGTTCAAAGACTTAACTTTTGACCTTGTTTTCTTTTTTGTTAAGGTGTTTTCTAGTTTCCTTTGTAAGTTCGCTTGTAGTTTAGAATGCTACTTAAAGTGTCATTTAGATTGAGAATTTTACTGAACTTGGGTCTTCTGTAAGAGGAGTGTACATTCTTAACTACTGTGTTGTTTTCTCCAGTCCCCAGAATTATTTTGTCAAATACATTTTCTGCTCCATCCTCTCTATCTTTCCTTCTAGGACCTTAAGTATGTAAGTATAATACTGCTTGATACTGTCCCATAGGCTGCTTAAGTGTCCTCCCTGCTTAATTATCATCTCCATCCTCACCATCATCTCCACCCTCACCATCATCTCCATCATCTCCACCCTCACCATCATCTCCGTCCTCTCCATTTTCTCCATCTTCACCATCCTCTCCATCATCTCCATCATCTCCATCATCTCCACCCTCACCATCATCTCCATCATCTCCACCCTCACCACCCTCACCATCATCTCCATCCTCACCATCATCTCCACCCTCACCATCATCTCCGTCCTCTCCATCATCTCCATCCTCTCCATCATCTCCATCCTCACCACCCTCACCATCATCTCCATCCTCACCACCCTCATCATCATTTCCATCATCTCCATCCTCACCACCCTCACCATCATCTCCATCCTCTCCATCATCTCCATCCTCACCACCCTCACCATCATCTCCATCCTCTCCATCATCTCCACCCTCACCATCATCTCCATCCTCTCCATCCTCACCACCCTCACCATCATCTCCATCCTCTCCATCCTCTCCATCCTCTCCACCCTCACCATCATCTCCATCCTCTCCATTCTCTCCATCATCTCCACCCTCACCATCATCTCCATCCTCTCCATCCTCACCATCCTCACCACCCTCACCATCATCTCCATCCTCTCCATCATCTCCACCCTCACCATCCTCTCCATCCTCTCCACCCTCACCATCCTCACTGTTTTAAATGCTGTTGTTCTGCAAACAAGTAATTAGGCTATGAAGCTATTAACATGAGTATTTATTTAGGCCCCTTATCCTTTATTTTGTATCTCAAGTTTGCTTTTAAACTCACCCAGTAAAATTTATGCAGGTGTACATTTT